GTTTTTTGAAAGCATTTTGCCCATGTGTGGAGTTATTGAAATAAAATATTTGTACTTGGCACACTTGTTTTCACCAAATGTCACAGCTCAGATCTCTCTTTGGTTACAGACTTTGGGGTAAGTTCTTCTCCTGTTAAGTAGGCAATTAATCTCCAGAGAAATGTGGAGAATGTAGTTGATAATTACTAAATGGAATTTATGTTGTCCTTTTTAGACGAGATCAGGCGTGTTCAGGGTGTTATGCCGTAGACAATGTGTTGTCCTTTTTATAACAAATTGTTCTTTACTATGAAGCTGTAGAGGCCTCTTTTTTTTTTTAATATTTTATTTAATTTTGAGAGAAAGAGAAGAGCAGGGGAGGTACAGAAAGAGGGAAATGACATAATCTGAAGCAGGCTCCAGGCTCCAAGCTGTTAGCACAGAGCCTGACATGGGTTTGGAACTCATGAGTGGCAAGATCATGACCTGAGCCAAAGTTGGACACTTAACCGATTGAGCCACCCAGGCACCTCAACAAATTGTTCTTTAAAGAGGAGCATTTATATTTTATATTAGTTGTCATAGGGCTTTGTTTAAATTTGCTTCTAGATTCTAGGTTTTTAGTCCAAAGTTAGCTATTCACAGAGTTAGCTGTTCACAGAGGAAAGGAGGGTCAGCAAATAAATTGTGGTTCTGATTATATTTAATCACCAAGGTTAATGTTTTTGCTCCTCTTCCAGAATCTATATTTGCATATAAAAACTGGTGCCTTTCATCAATGTCAGGACAGACATTTTATGCACATTTGAACACCACTGATACCAGGTTATGTCATATGATGCATGACATTATAATTGATATTGTTACTTTCTTAGTGACACATAAAATAACAGTGTACCTTACCATTCATGGTGCCTAAAATTGTAAACTTCATCTGGCTTTGAACTCATGAGTTCACACCTCTCCTTTCACTTACTGTTGGCCAGAGATCCAGGCTGAATTTTTACTTACGTTGTTAAATTTGGAGAGAGATCTATAACCAGAAATAATGAGGAGATTTGCTACGTTTAATTAAGGAAACTCCAGCCTGGATATGTTACAGGGTTTGTCAGTTGGCAAAGGTGAAAGCTAGTTACTAGCAGGGCCACACATAGAACCTGTTCATCTTCAGTCTTAGTTTTCTCAGCATTTTATCTTTGGTGTTAAGAGATGACCATTGTGAGATTGTCACTCTCCACTACAGAAGACTGAGATTTGATGAGGAGCCTTCTCACGTGACCCAGATCTCACGCAGGCTCCCTCCATCTCTGCTGGCCGAGGCTCACTTTGTCTCTGGAGCACCTGTGTATAGACCTTGTCACTTTGCACGTTCACCGAATGGACTGCCAGTACTTTTCCTCCAAATGAACAAGTCCAGATGGTTACGGTTCGGGTTTCCATGTCCTTCTGGTTTTCTCCTATCCTTTCACTCACCGTGCATAGTGTGAAATGGGACAACATAGTGCCACCATCTCGTGTTGATTGAACACTTTCACAGTAGCACATGATCCTGGGGGTTTTAAAATATCGAGTACAAAGGCCCTGTGATGGCGATAGGTGGCCCGGAGGTGGGAACATGATGCATTTGAGAAAGTAGATTAAGGCTTGTGTTTGGAGTAAAGGAGAGTGGGCAGAGCTAAAAACACCTTCATAGACCATCTTCCCGACCTTTGCCCTCATTCTGAGAACCAACGGAATCTTCTGGAGGTTTTTCCATTTTGTTAGTTTTCTATCAGATATGTCTTTAAAAATATCATTCCTGAAGACTGGATTTCGTGTGTGTTGGGGTGAAGATCGTATTGAGAGAGGGTGGCTATTTGTTAGAGAATTAGTTCCACAAATTGATTGGGGTGAGAGCCTGCGTGTATGGGAGGAAAGAAAATGGGGGCACATGAAAAGACAGATTTGACCTCCTTACCATCTCAGGCCAGGCCCCAGATCTAATCCTTCCCTTCATGCCTTTACTGTGGGCTCTCATAAGCCTTCCTTTCTTCTTATGTCCCAGGCTCATTGGATGGCTAGATGTTGTCTCAGAACCCTGTTTTGGCTTTGCTTTTGTGGTTTTTGAGTCAGCCCATTTCTCCTTTCTCCATACCCTCTAATTGTTTAAAACAGTGACCCAAGGGGCGCCTGGGTGGATTAGTTGGTCAAGCTCCCAACTTCGGCTCAGGTCATGATCTCACAGTTTGTGGGTTCGAGCCCCGCGTCGGGCTCTGTGCTGACAGCCAGCTCAGAGCCTGGAGCCTGTTTCAGATTCTGTATCTCACTCTCTCTCTCATCCTCTCCTGCTCACGCTGTCTGTCTGTCTGTCTGTCTGTCTCTCTCCCTCTCTCTCCCCCCCCCTCTCAGAAATAAATAAAACATAAAAAAAAAAACAAAAACAAAAAACACCAGTGACCGCAAATGGGGTGCCTGGGTGGCTAAGTCACTTAAACTTCCACCTTTAGCTCAGGTCATGATCTCATGGCTTGTGAGTTCAAGCCCTGCTTTGGGCTCTGCGCTGACAGCTCAGAGCCTGGAGCCTGCTTCGGATTCTGTGTCTCCCTCTCCCTCTGCCCCTCCCCTGCTTGTGCTTTGTTTTTCAAAAATAAGTAAACGTTAAAAAAAAATAAAACAACCAGCCAAAAATGTGTTACATAGTTGGTACCAATATTATGTATGTATTTATATGTGTATGTATATATACATGTATGTGTAAATATGTTTATATAAATAGGCCCATGCACGTATCTCGTAAGCTGTTTATCATCACAAAGGGTAGGTGATGTTAAGTCAGCTCTGCCATCTCTTAGACATACTACTCCGTAAGGAAATAACTTAAAAGTCTCTCTACTTGGCGTGTTCACATCTGCTAAATGTAGTGGGGTTCAAGTGGATGGTCTTTGTTCCTGCCCTTTGTAAAGTCCTGGGCCTGAACTTAATTGTAACAAAGAAGGTAGAGCACTTCTCTGAGAAGAACTGAGATAACTCACCCAGATTCTTTGCTTTCAGATGGAATTTAAAGAATTTAGATAACATGGCCAGTTAGCAGGATTAGGGAAAAAAGAATTCACATTTGGTGAGTGACGGCCCCTTTATATCACTTGATCTTCTAAACCCCCATAAGATAAGTAGGTATTTTACAGGTGACAATATCAAGGACTAGAAAGGTGGTTGTTTGCCCCAGACCTAAAGCTTGTTAGGCTCTCCTGGCTGCTAGACTCTGCAGCACACAGTGGCGACTGAGGGCAATGTATCTGCTTCAGCTTTTTCAGCTGTGGTTTCTTTTCTTAACACCCATTATTCTCAGGCCATAGACTATTTTACTGTAGATGGTTTGGAAAAAAGTTTTAGTTCAGCGTACGTGTTCATCCTAGTGTTTATGTTCTTTCCCTTTCTCTCCTGGACAGTATTTCTGTGTAAACATCATTGCGGGCCATAAAAATACTTGGCTTTCTGTCGTGCTTATTTTCTTAGAGTTACGAAGTTATTATGTGTTTGCACTGCATTTAAACTAGACAGAAAGCAAATGTTTGTTTAGTAGAATAGGAAAGAAATGAAATTCATGGCAGATATGTGAATTTTTTTAGAGTTTATTTATTTTGAGAGAGAGAAAGTGTGTGAGTTGGGGGAGGGGCAGAGAGGGGGAGGGGTGGAATCCCAAGCAGGCTCCACACTGTCAGTGCAGAGCCCAACGTGGAGCTCGAATGCACGAAATGTGAGATCCTGACCTGAGCCGAAATCAAGAGTTGGATGCTCAACTGAATCAGCTACCCAAGTGCCCCAATAAATGCATATTCTCAAAAAAACTTTTTAATGTTTATTTTATTTATTTTGAGAGAGATGGAGAGCAGGCGAGCAGAGGAGTGGCGAGAGAGATGTAGAGAGACGATCACAAGCAGGCTCTGTACCATCAGTGCACAGCCTCACGCGGGGTTCAAACTCACTCATGTGAGAGCTCATGACCTGAGCCAAAATCAAGAGCCTGATGCTTAACCGACTGAGCCACCCAGGCGCCCCTAAATGCATATTCTTAATATATTATCACTTTTAGGTATCTGGAATCCTATATAGTACAAAATCAAGGATTTTGCTTCCTTCAGTTAGGGGGTAGTGGTAGTGGGAATAACAAAGTCATTAGCAACAGCTAGCATTTGTTGAACTGTTAACATGTATGTATATGTGTTCCATTTGTTATATACATGTTACATGTGTGTTTCTAAGAGCTTTAATTGTATTAGCTTTTTAGACCCTCTCAGTAAACCTCAGAGATGGTGGTACTATTATCTCCATTTTATAAATGAGGAAACCGAGGCACACAGAGAGTAGGAAACTTACCCAAGTTCACATAGCTAGGATACATACTATACTTTTTGGCTGTTCTCAATCTGAGTTACTTCAAATTTTTATTGTTAACCACTTAAATACGTTATTGAAATGTTTCTCCATTAATGTTATTGTTTCCTGGGCCTTGAACTCTGTGTGCTTTCTTAGGGGCATTGGTAACAGATTATCTTTAAAGTAAAAATGACTGGGCCTAGTGGAGTTCTGTATAAATCACTGGGATCACTGAGTTTTACTCAAGGAACTAAGGCAATCCTTCTTACTATGTATTATTAACAATAGTATTTTTAAAATTCGGGTATGAAAATATTATATGTGCAGAGGGGTGCTTTAATTCTGTAAGATATCATTGAAATGGAAAATTTCATGTGTTTAAATGCTGGCTGGTGGAGTACATTGCTTTCAATTACAGCAGATATGGAATATCTAAATGGTTTGGCAAGAAAAGGTAAAGCAAACATTTTTTTCTATTTAGCGAACAGGAATTATGGATTCAGAAGGATATTTTGTAGTAAGAAAGTTTGAGTTGACAGAGACAGAATGTTAAGTCTGAGAAAATTTTGATTTGCTAAGAAATACTTTGGATGCTGTGTAATAAGCCTTTATGTTAAAGTCAGTATTCCCTAAGTCCCACCCCTCCTTTTTTTTTTTTTTTTTAGCTCTGAAAAGGACATGGATGAAAATGAAAGCAACCAATCCCTGATGACAAGCAGCCAGTATCCTAAAGAAGCAGTAAGAAAACGCCAAAACTCAGCCCGGAGTTCTGTAGGAAGTGATTCTTCTAGGTTGTCCAGGAAAAGTTTCAAACTGGATTACAGACTAGAAGAAGATGTAACTAAATCAAAGAAAGGAAAGGATGGCAGATTTGTCAACCCTTGGCCAACTTGGAAAAGTCTCTCTATTCCAAATGTTCTCAGGTGGCTGATAATGGAGAAAGATCACAGCAGTGTCCCGTGTTCCAAAGAGGTAGCGTTTGTTTTTTCTGGGGGGGTGGGGGGTGGGGGGAGGCTGCATATTTTGGGAGGCTCTTATTATTACTTAATTGTGCTGTGAATTGTATCATGACACCCAGTTTGTGAATTGAGCTCCTTTTATATGATAAGGCATAAGGCTAAGTTCTCTGGAGAAAAAGTAAATAAGGTGCTTTCAAGTTCATAATTTAGCAACAGAGTGCATATATGAATAACCATCTCTGATCTGATGGCAACTAGAGGTAGGAATAGAGTGCTTTAGAAGTGCAGGATGAATGGATAAAGAAGATAAATACATACATAATAGAGTGGAATACTACTTAGCAATGAAAAAGAATGAAATCTTGCCATGTGCAACAACGTGGATGGAACTGGAGGGTATTATGCTAAGTGATATAAGTCAGTCAGAGAAAAACAGATACTATATGTACTCACTTATGTGGAATTTGAGAAACTTAACAGAAGATCATGGGGGAGGGGAAGAAAAAAAAGTTAGAGAAGGAAGGAGGCAAACGTAAGAGACTCTTAAATACAGAAGACAAACTGAGGGTTAATGGTGGGGGCGGAGGAGAGGGGAAAATGGCCAATGGGCATTGAGGCAGGCACTTGTTGGGATGAGCACTGGGTGTTGTGTATAAGTGATGAATCATGGGAATCTACTCCCGAAGCCAAGAGCACACTATAGTCTGTGTGTTAGCTAATTTGACAATAATAAAAAAAACACAGGAAAACTAATTTGACAATAAACTATTTGTAAAAAATGAAAAAATAAAAAATAAAAAAAATAAAAAAAACACAGGAAAGGAAGCAATGGATTCTAGCTAGTGGGGGCTGGAGACGGCTTCTCAGAGGAAGCAATTTGACATTTGAGCCAAGCCTAGAAAGATAAAAGTATTTTGGCAGTGGTTTTCAGGTGGATGATGGCATGAACAAGGTCACGGAGGTGAGGAAGTACTTTATGTACCATAAAGTAGTAACCCGATGTGTGTTTGCCCAGAGGGCTTGGCTTTTCATCCTTGGATAAGGCTGCTGAAGCTGTAAAAAGGAATAACCTTTCCAGAACTTAAAAAATTGGCAATAGGTCATTGATCTTTAAATCTATGATATTTACCTAGGATGAAACTTTATTATTTTTAAGTTTGTTTATTTTGAGAGAGAGAGAGAGCACACATGTGCATGGGAGGGGTAGAGAGAGGAACCCCAAGCAGACTCAGAGCCATATGCGGGGCTCGGACTCAAAAACAATGAGATCAGGACCTGGGCTGAGGTCAGGAGTTGGAGGCTTAACCAACTGAGCCATCCAGGCACCCCGTTAGGATGATATTTGGTAACATTTGGCATGTAGTTTATTAGATCAGTGCGATTACATTTGGTGGGGAGTGGGTGGCTCCCAATTGCAGGAGCTGTTTCTTGCCCCCTCCTTTCTCTTCTTTTATTTTCTTGCCTCTCTGCACCACCTGTCTCCTTTAGCTGCTCTTTTATACCAACCTCTGTCCTATCAGGCTTTGGAGGGAGTGGAGACAGAGAGAGAGAGAGAGAGAACTTGACATTGGAAGTGGGGGATGGGATGCAAAGAGTGGGGGCATCCTTGAAGGTTTGCTCTGCAGAGGGAAAGACCGGGGAGTGGCTGCTCATGGTGGTGGTAGATCCTTCGGTAACAAAGGATCTTTTTTTTTTTTTTAAGGACACAGGATTTAAAAAAATGATATTAACACCTTGATGCTAAGGAATGTTCACAGTACTAATCCTACTTAACAGAGTTGATTAATAATAATAATGCTTTTCTAACACCTTGTTAGAATGAGGCCAGGCATTAGTAGATAAAACTGTATTACGTCTTTCAGCTCAGAGGTCGGAAGGAACAAGAAGCCTGGTCCCACTTGTTCTTTCCTTCTGGAGAACCCATATGAAGAGCAACTTGGAAGGGAGCTGTGAAGAGGAGGGGTAGGGCAGGGGGCTACCTGTTTGGGGTAAATTTCCTCTTGTTTTTTGAGCCACAGCTTCTAAAACTGCAGAGGTAAGCAGTGGTAATTTTAGATTTGTTTCATTTCACATGGGAAGTGAGTGATCGCATGAAGGCAGAAATACATCTGCGTTGTAAGGATCTGGAGAGATTCTAGAAACTGGGTTGAATGAGAAATTGCCAGGCTAGTGGTTCTGAAGCTCTTTTCAATCCTAGCACCCTTTGAATGTCTGATGAAAACTGTAGACCTTATGTGGGCATAAATACATTAATTGCCTTTTACTATAATTTCAGGGAGTTCATAGACCCTCCCAAGCCCTTCCTCATTCATTCACTTATCCATTCATTTAGTTACTATTTATTAAAAAAATTTTTTTTAATGTTTATTTTTGAGAGAGAGTGAGAAACAGAGCATGAGTGGGGGAGGGGCAAAGGGAGAGGGAGACACAGAATCCAAAGCAGGCTTCAGACTCTGAGCTGTCAGCCTGATGCAGAGCTGGAACCCAGAGACTATGAGATCATGACCTGAGCCGAAGTTGGATGCTTAATCGACTGAGCGGCCCAGGAGTCCTTCATTCAGTTACTATTTATTGAGCACCAGCGGTGTGCCAGGCACACAGTTCTAGGCATTAGAGGGAGACCCTTGAACAAAGTGGAAAGGCACCACCATCACATTGGGTTTAATGGAAGACAAATAATAAACAAATGGGTAAAAATTTGTTATATTAAAATATGATTAGTGCTTTGAAGAGTAACAAAGCAGAGAAGGGAATTAGAATGGAGGTGGGAACTACATTCTTGAATGAATCGTAAGCTTTTTTTTTTAAAGGCAAATTTTAAAAATTGAAGTGTGGTTGACATATTGAGGTGTGTAACACAATGATCTAACAGTTACATACATTACTCAGGGTTCACAACAATAAGTATAGTTACCCTCTATTACAGTACAAAATTATTATAAGGGCTCCTGGGTGGTTCAGTTGGTTAAGTGTCCAGCTTCAGCTCAGGTCATGATCTTAAGGTCTGTGAGTTCAAACCCTGGGTCAGGCTCTGTGCTGACAGCTCAGAGGCTGGAGCCTGCTTCGGATTCTGGGTCTCCCTCTCTCTCTGCCCCTCCCCTGCTCATGCTCGCTCGCTTGCTCTCTCTCTCTGTCTCTCAAAAATAAACACTAAAAACATTTTTAATTAAAAAAATTACTATGATATTACTGACTGTATTCCTTATGTTGTACTTTTTATTTCTGTGACTTAATTTATTTTATAACTGTAAGTTTGTACCTCTCAATCCCCTTCACCCATTTCACCCAGTACCCTACACACACCCCTCTGGCAACTGCCAATTTGTTATCTATGTGTAGGAGTCTGTTTCTTTTTTAAATTTGTTTGTTCACATGTTGTGTTTTTTAGATTCCACACAGAGGTGAAATCATATGGTGCGTGTCTTTCTCTGTCCAACTTGTTTCACATAACATAGTGCCCTCAGGGTCCATCCATGTTATCACAAATAGCAAGATCTCTTTCTTTTTTATAGAGGAGTGATATTCCTTGGTGCATGTATACCCCATCTTCTCTGTCTATTCATCCATTTTTTTAAAAGCCAGAGTTTATTCTTCTTTATAACTAAGAGTCTTTAAAATACCCAAAGCCAGAAGAATTTCCAGGTTTGAGATGGTATCACAGTCAGCTGGTGGCTGCTGGTTCCTCTTTTTCTAAAGCCTCGGAAGGATCCTGGCAGTTTTCCTTGAAAACGTTTCTGGTCTGAAAGCTGATGCCTAGTTTGCTTCATGTATCAATCCAGTGAGGAAGAAAAGCGCAGTGCAGATAACAACCTTTGTTGCAAGAGAAACACGTCTTGTTTCCACTTAAAGCTAAGAACTAGATCAAAGCATGTTGACTTCTGTTATTTTCATATGTAACTGAATCTCCATATTTAATACCTTTACATTGCCCAAATTATTAACTTTTACCAACTTTTTAAATATGATAGACTTCTGCATTTTCTAGAAAAACACTCCCCAAACATGAACACCTGCTTCAGATTATTGGGTCAATTCAGAATTTAATCTGATTTCTGGAAATTGTTTTTTTTAGACATTGGGGGGCTAAAGTCTAATAAAATGAGACTTCAAATTGTTTTGGAAGGAGACAGGATAATATATACATAGGGTTATAATTACTATGCAGTTTATATCACTATAGCATATTGATTTATGTATATACATATGAAAATATTTTAGAAGAAGGATGATTAAAATATAAAATAGAACAGGTCTGAGTAAAATGAAAGTTGGTCATTCACAAATGCTAAACAGTTGAGTTAACTTGGACCATTTCTGATAAGTTTGCCTTTTCTTGGCCTTTGTAGCAGCGTGCCAGTTCATGGGCTTCGCGCTATTGAGGTGCTGTCCTTGCTTTGTGCTGTTGGAAGGCTCAGTGACTTTGGTTGTTGTTGATCCTAGTTACCAGTAGTCTTGGCCGGCGGGAGAGGGGAGACAGTTGGAGAATTTCAAAGGAGGGAGGCAGAACGGAGGCTCACTAGTTGGAGGAGGCTGTCCTTACCAGTCACTACACTAGAAGTGAGGAAGGGGCGGTCACGTTGGAGTGTGAGAGAGACCTGGAACTGAGAACACGCATCCTGGACTGGTAGGAAAAGTGGGACACCCGGAGTCCAGAAACCAGTCTCAGGTTTGGGATACCTCACTGAGTACATGGCTCTATTTCTATCACAGTCCCTCAAGGCACCTTTTTTTTTTTTTTTTTTAATCTGTAAGATTAGGATAAGACCTTACCCTAGTTGAGGTCACTAGGATTATTTAGAGGTTTACAAGACACTTGAAAGTACTTCGAAAGTATAATGCACCTTTCAGATGTAAAATACGGAAGAATAGAGTGGTACCCTTCGAAAAACAATGAAAAACATCAATTCTGTTTCTGGTGTAGTATGCTAACAGGTTGCTTTTTCATTTTTATTAAAAAAGTACATGTATACGGACTTTCTAAGAAGTCATGGTGCTGAAAGGCTTATTAGACAA